AAAAAAAAAAAAAAGGAACGGGGGAGGTTTTGGTTTTGGTTTTGGGTTTTTTTCTTCCCCCCGGAACATTGGCTTCGGTTTTTTTCCTCTTGGGTTTTTTTTTAACTCCCCTTTTTGTTGGCTGGTTTTCTGGTTTTTTGGTTCAAATTTTTTTTTTGTTGGGAGAAAGGGGCCTTTTTTTCCTTTTTTGGTTCTTTTTGGTAAACCCGCCCTATCCCGGGTTTTCCTCCTTAGGGGGCCTTTTGGAAAAAACCCCAGGTTGTATTCCCCACCTTTCCATTTTTTTTTTTTTCATTTCCCCAAAAAATCCCTTTTTTTTTTTTGGTTCCCCGCCAAAAGCCCGGGTTTGGGGGGGGGAATTTTCCCCCCCCCCCCCCCCGGCTCTTATGCCTAATAAGGAATCCAAACGCTTCCTTAAGTAATAAGAACCAGGCTGACCACATTCCGCTGGTCGCCCAGCTTGAACACAAGCCTCCCCATCACGAAGTCTTGTTCTTCTTACTTCTGGACCCCTCTTAACGCTTTCTTCCCCATTCCGCCCCTTGCCCCGGTTGTCTCTCGAATACCCCTCCCCTTCTTCCAACACCGCCGACACCCATGCTGGGTCTTGCCTATTCGCCCTCACGTACGCCATAAATGTGTTCGACGACCACCTCCCTTCCTTCGTTATCACGACCTCCGGTACCCCTTTCGCGGCCAACCTCGTCGCCCCACCTATCCTTCCCGAATGTAACGCAAACTCTTCCGGTTTTAGCTTCGCCCCTGCCCCTTTCCCTTCCTTCGACGACATCTTTGACAACGTTCTTATCCCTTCCTCAGTTGCTCTGTCGCCTGCCCTCTCTGCCATACCTCCCACTTCCCTTTCCTTCTGTGTACCATCAATGGTGCCGTTGCACTCAATCCTTCACTTCCATTAATCCCGAATAGTTCCAGCATCAATTCCACCGCTCCATTCGCCCTCCCCCTCGCCCTGACCATCACCGCTCCTTTCGTCCCCTGCTCTCCCTTCGAGTCTGTCATATGCACTTCTATCTTATCTGCCCCTAACCTCTCCGGTCCTCCCAGCTGCTTATCGCCCTCGAACAATGCCATGTCCCCCCTGCACAGGCAGTACGTGGATTCTTCCATCCTTTCCGCAAACAACTCTGACGCTCTCAACATCAGCAGATATGTCAAGGCCAATCCGATCCATGACAAACACTCTTCCCCCTGCACCCTCACCGCCAACACTCTGCTGCATTGCACTCAGCATTCCCCATGTCAGAGGTCTCCTCACTCTTGCTTGTGTACCTTTCCCCGCGTGTCCTCTCTTCATACCTTGCGCTACCCCTTTGATGTACGGGTTACTCGACGGCAACGACATGTTCTGAAACCGTTGATATGTACTCCCCAAACCCAAAAACAATTAATTAAATCAAACACCCCTATATATAAATTCTTTCATTATGTACTCCCCAAACCCAAAAAAATAATATGAAAAAAATAACCCAAACCCAAAAACAATTAATTAAATCAAACACCCCTACATATAATTATGTACTCCCCAAACCCAAAAACAATTGATTAAATCA